TGTGTGTGTGTGTGTGACTATCATAAAAAAAAATTAAAAAAAAGATTTTATTTATTTATGAGAGAGAGAGAGGCAGAGCCACAGGCAGAGGGAGAAGCAGGCTCCATGCAGGGAGCCCGACGTGGGACTCGATCCCGGGACTCCAGGATCACGCCCTGGGCCGAAGGCGGTGCTAAACCGCTGAGCCACCCGGGCTGCTCAGAAAAAACTTTTGACAAGGCATGAAACCACAAAACTACTGCATGCCGTAGTTGACATTTACTGGAGTTTTTAAAGAGTCAGTATTCCCCATTTTTTCTTTACTGATTTCCAGCAAGTTCTCCATTCCAACCCCAACATTTAGACCTATTTTATAGTTCTTTTCTGAGGTGGGGACAGCGTCTTCTACCTCGTGTGGGTGTCCACGGCCCCTGGCACAGCATATACGCCACCAGATGTTGAGGCGTGGCAGCTAACCACACCTCGCCCTTGGTGCCCTGTGGTGGCCGGTGGAGGGGCCAGCGCCACCTGCTTCTGTTGGCTGGGAGCAGCCCGTGTCCGCGTCACACAGGCATCGGGGGGCTTGGGTGAACCGCCTTGGACGCCTGGTACTGCTCAGGGTCATGGACACAGCGGGCACTGGAGACCAACTCCCTCCTGACACTGGTCTCTTCCTGCGCAGCCAAATCCGCTTGCTCTGTGCGCTGGAGTGAGATCGGCCCCGTTGGACGTGGGTCTGCTGCCTGCCACCCACGTACCTGGACTTGTCCCCAGTGCCCTTGGAGCTCCCAGTGCAGTGAGTCTAGCTCAGGGGAGTGCCCTAATGCCATGGCGGTGGCTCCTACCTGCTGTGGCTGTGAGCTGTTTAAACCCTGCCCTTCTCTTTTGGTGGTTTCTAGGACATCCGACTATCAGATGTTCAAATTTGTTTGACTCCTTGTTTTTTTTTTTTTTTGACTCTTTGAATTTATCTTGTTTCCCTTAAAATGACACGTACGTGCATTTCTATTTTCAGCCAAATAGCATTCATCTGACATTGTGCATTTAAGTTTTACAAATCGCAGCGCTCCACCTTTCCATTATGGAGAATTTTTTTTTTTAACATAAAGATGGCAGGACAAGACCAAATATGTGTTATTTGGAAGGAAGAAAGTCGTAGACCATGCCAACCGGCATAGGAACATTTATAATCATGACCATTTCAGTTCTCAGTTGTAATTTTAACTTGCAAATAAGTTTTTGCTAATTAAGACATGCGTTTTCTGACATTTCTTTTTTTTTTTTCTTTTGGACTTTGGCCCTTGATGGAGGTCAAGGCCCTCGTGGCCTCTGTACCCCAGACCTGGAAGGAAACAAATGTAAACGTTGACTCTAGATGTATCGGTGACTTCGCTAGAGGAGAGCTTTCCGTGGCGTGGTAAGGAGGCGGCCGTTGCTCGACTTAACCAACTAGAAGTTTGCAGAGTGTCCCTCCATTTCCTGGGGCTGCCCCGTGGCGGCTCCTCAAGTAGATACCGTACCACCAACCAAGCTTTGATTGCACAGCTTTTGTTTTCTGCTTAAGTGTTTTTTTAGACAATATTTACGGGGAGAAGCTCAAACATGTATACGGGCAGAGAGACTAGTGTCCTGACATTCCCCCATGCAGCCAGCGGCAAACTTCAACACATCATGGCAATGTCTTCTTAGCTGTACCCGAGCTCCCCAGTCGATTTGGACTGGTTAATGTTTGCTTATGTATATTCTTAAAAAGATTTTATTTATTTATTTGTCAGAGAGAGAGAGAGAGGGAGAGGGAGAGAAAGAATGAATGAGGAGGGGGAGGGAGAAGCAGACTCCCTGCTGAGCAGGGAACCCAACATGGAGCTGGATCCCAGGACCCTCGGATCACGCCCTGAGCCGAAGGCAGACACTAAACCGACTGAACCACCCCAGGCGCCCCTTTGCTCATGAATTTAAAGGTAAATCCTAGATATCACGTCACCCCTACATATTTTCCCCTGCATCTGCTTGTCTGCACCAAACACAGTTTCTGCAATAACCACAAAGCCAGTGTTGTAATTAGCACAGTAACCTGGTGAAAGGGGTTCTTTGATGTCACTTAGCATCCCGCCCATGTACCGGGAATGGCGCACACTGCCCCCCCCCCCCCGCTGACGCCCACTGCTGCGCGGCCGCCCCCCCGCCCCCCCACATTGTGCTTATTTGTTTACAAGTCTGTTCTTTATTTATTTTTTTTATTTTTTTACAAGTCTGTTCTTTAGACTCCGGAGGCGGGGAGGGAAGGGTCTGTGGGCTGATCATCTCTGCACCCCGGTTCTGAAACAGATGGTCTGATCTGGAACCCTGGCTCTCCCTAATTGCTTGTTCGGTAACCAGCTAGTTATCTGCTAATGCGGGCTAATTGTCCTGTCAAGACCTACGCTTCTTTATCTGTGAAGCAGGGTGACAGTATGAGCTCACAGGGCGTTGTGCGGGTTGAGTAAGTGCAAAGCAGAGGGTCTGGGGCCGGGCACTCGGTACTTAGGAGCCGCTGGCTCTAGAGATACAACCTCACGGAGGGCAGCAGAAACCACATCCTCCGACGTGTTCGGCGGCTCGTGGATCCCTGGGAGGCTCAGGGCCCAGCACGAGGACACTCGGGGCTCCAGCGCAGTGCTTAAAGTTGCACCGTCAGGTGCCCAGACCCGCCTTCTCTTCCCTCTGCCTTTAAGGTCACACCAGGAAAGGCAGTGCGCCAAGCCAGGATGGGGGTGAATGTGTGGGTTTGAGGACAAAAAGCCTCCTTGTTGTTTCTTCTGGAAACTGGCTGCTCCCTCCCATGGCTGAGGTGGAGGGGCCCTCGCTGTGTGGGCAGCGCACCTCCTGCTGGGGCACTGCCCCCACCCCGCCCCGCGCTCCCCACCCGGGCACCACCCACCCTGTGCGCTCCGGGGTGCCCAGCCAGGCGTGGTCCCTGCAGGCAGCTGCGGCACAGTGGGCTGGTGGCGGGCTCTGGCTCCACCTACCGGCCGCCTCAGGACACCTGCTTGTTCCCGGAGCTGGAAGTCCCATGTGCTTCTTGCCCCGTCCAAACAGTAAGTGGGCTCTGGCCTTTACAACAAAAGGCTCCTTCTTTACCCTACAAAACACACGGCTTCCAGGGCAGGAAACCACCTGGCCTAGCAGGAAGATCCTTTTGCTTCCCTTTTAAAGGCATGGCTGATTCTTGGCAGGTTTCTGGGGGTGGGGTGTTTATCTTTGACATCCTCCAACCTGCCTTCGCATATCACTAACCACAAACTGCCCGCTGCGGCAGGCAGCCCGCCCAGACCGGTCTACCTTTCAGACGGTCTGCTAGGTCTCATCACGAAAGAAATGAAGTCTCTTTGTAAAAGAAATCCCATGGTCCCTCACCCCACTCTGCACAAGCAGAGGTATTGCAACTCGTTCACAATGGCCATGAGCATCTTTTGCAAAAACATTTACGTACCCAGATAACTAAAGGAACCCACGTTGTAAAGGGAGATGCGCCCCTGGGGCCGGCACTGCAGCCCTTTTCAGCTTCTAGGGCTGGTTCCCCAGGGGCCCCTTCTCTCCCTCCGTGCAAGTGTAGATTCCTGGGGTCCCAGGCCCAGCCCTGGCTAGGTGACCTTTGCCTCCTCATGGCCTCTTGGTCTGTTTCCTTCTCTGTACGGTGGGACTGTAGCTCCACCTAGTTCAGCTCTGAGGACCGCATGAGCTAAGTCGTGTAGTACAGGCAGCAGGGGTAGTGGGCCAGACAGTCCGGTGGGTGATGTTCCTTGGATCAGTGCTTTTCAAAATGTGGTCCCCAAGCATCAGCATGTGCTGGCAAATTATGAGAAATACAAGTTCTCCGGCTCCTTCCCTCTGATTCCCAGACCAACAGAATCAGAGACACTGGGACCCACTAGTCCATGTTTGCAGTCTCCCCCCACCGTCCCCTGCCCTGCCCTGGGCTCCAGCGCCAACGCCACTGGGGACGTGTAACACCTCCACACCAACTGCATTGAGCCAACAGCTGTGAGCTGGGTAGTGAGGCCGATGGCAGGCTTCATCCCCATTTATATAAAACAAGAAACCGAGTTCAGAGACCCCACAGTGAGCAGCAGGCATTTGTGAGGCCCGGACTGTAGCCAGACCTGACTACATGCTGGGGACATGCTTGAAAAACAGGATGGTCTTTGCCCTTAAAAGGAGAGAAAGGCAGCTGGAGACGGGGACCTGGGCCCCTGTTTCTATTCCACAGCCAGACCCCCGCTAACCTGCAAAGCACCAGATCTCGAATTAGACTCACTTCCACCCCTACTGCTTTCGAATCTTCTTTAAAAGTGCAACGGGGTTTGGTAATTGCCTTAGATGGAGGCCACAATCAGGCAATATTTATTTTAACTAAACTAGGAGAAATTTCAGTTTTTTAATAACATGTACTTTGCCTTATCAGTGACTTCGTGATATAAACTTCTAGAGCTTATACATTTTACTCACCACATCTCATTCCTTATTTCTAGTATTTTGCAGGTTTTTTTTTTTTTTTAAGATTTTATTTATTTGAGAATGAGTGAGCATGAGAGCACAAGTGGTGTAGAGAGAAAAGCAGGCTTCCCACTGAGTAGGGAGCCTGACACAGGCTCGATCCCAGGGCCCAGGGATCAGAACCTGAGCCCAAGGCAGCCGTTTAACCAACGAGTCACCCGGGCGCCCAACTGTGTTACAGTTTAATGCTTTTTCACACCTTCCCTACTGATCTCTGCAGTAACTCTAGGGGAGAACTCACCTGTGGTCCCCGCTGTCCGCATGCGGGAACCCAGGCTCAGTGAGGTCACAAGGGTTAGTGGCAGAACCATCGGCATATTGAGTATTTATGAGACTCAGAAGTGGGGGCCACACCTACCCCCCAAGCTCTACAGTGCTCGGGATGGGATGGCTCCCTGGGGTTCTCTCTGCTGTGTTCCCAACATCTACTCAGGGCACGACGGGCGCATGGGGAGCCGAGAGAGGGACACGGGCGCAGCCAGGGGTCACCTCACAGTTACATAAGTTTATTCACGCCGCAGCAGACACGACACATGTACCCGTGTATATCAGGGCTCCATGTTCCTGGCTAACCGAGCGAGCAGAGATTTACAGCCAGACTGACGTTCCATCTCATGTGTTCCCCGAGCTGGTTAATGATGGCCATGAGCAGGGGCAGGACTCGAGGCTTTGAAAGAGAAGCATAATACGGGTATCATTGAGGAAGGAAGGAGAACACAGAAGACAGCTTATCGTGTAAGCATTGACAAGTCAGAAATGGTAAGTGACAATTCCCAATACTACGGAGCGTCTGACACATTTAAGGGTTTTGCGCGATCACCTCATGAACCTGGGCGCTCGCGTGCAAGCACAGGGAAGGAGGGGCAGGGACCTGTCTTCTCTCCAGAGCCCACGAGCCAGTCTGTCATTCAGAGCACACAGGGCAGAAAAGTCCAACACTAGGACATAAATCGATGTGGCGCCTTCTTTGCAGACGTGTTTCACGGCAGCCGGCCTCCACGGCTAACCTGTGCTTCCCCTTATTCCCAGAAGTTTTACTTGGCCCAAGGGGGTGAGCAATGGTTTTTAACATTTGGACTGTCAGAAGGACTTCAGCCTGTCTTTATGGTAGGGACAGCAAACTTCATACACCAGCGCACCCTATACGTTCATAAGCCATGGGACACTGTGTCCTGAGAAGGTAGGATGGTGTCTTTTGTCCCCCATCCCTTTGAAGAAGCAAAAATCTTACCTTTCAAAGCTTTACTTCTTTTATCTGAAATAAAAAGAGAGAACGATTGGTTGTATCCATGCTTTTCAAAAATGTGTTTAGTTCATCCACTGTCAAAAAAATCAACATTTGACTGAAAAGTTCACAGCTTCGGTAAAGCTGTTACGGGAGCTTTCAGAAAATAGTAGGAGTTTCTACAGCGTCTCCCGGCCAAGACGTGCTACCACTTCCACCAAAGACGTTCAACAGACCGTTGAACAGCCCTTCAGAATCTGCAGGGCTCTTTAGTCCCCACCATTCCTCAGACACCAGTCTCGCAGTTTAAAGTTTTCTCCATTCTCTCCTCTTCTTTTTTTTTTCCTAAAGATTCTATTTTTATTTATTCATGAGATACAGGGGGAGAGAAAGAGAGAGAGAAAGAGGCAGAGACACAGGAGGAGGGAGAAGCAGGCTCCATGCGGGGAGCCCGACGTGGGACTTGATCCTGGGTCTCCAGGATCAGGCCCTGGGCTGAAGGCGGTACTAAACCGCCGAGCCACCCGGGGATCCCTCTTCTCTCCTTTTCTAAACCAACTGGTATTAATACATGATCACGCCTCATCTCTGTTCCACTGAGAACCTAGGGTCACCCTGTCTCCACTGCTATCATGAAAACAGTCCAAATGTTCACTATGGTAGGAAAGGGACAGTAACACCCCACACCCCTAACTATTTCTGCCTCCATCCCTTCAAACGGAGGACATCTCCTGTGCATTTGAAACACCACTGTTACACCTAGCGAACTCCAAATCCCGTTATCAAGGCCTTGTCCAAATTTTCCCAGTTGTCCCCAAATGTCTCTCTCTTTTTTTTTCCCCAAATGTCTCTTACAGCTGACATGTACTCTCCATATTTTAACAAAGCGTTCTGACGCTTGCTTCTGGGTAAGAACCATTATTCCTTCGCAACACGGATTGTGACTCCTTTTGAAAATAATTTCCATCCTGACTGCTAATGAATCAACATAAAGAAACTTACCAGCACTCCTGATTTTATAAACGATGAGACTCATCAACCCCATTCCTAACCAAATCTCCTGGTAAGCTTGGGTATAGTAGGGCTTCATGGGGACCCAAACATTTTTAACAAGGTTTTGAAGCATCTGAAAAGGAAAACGGTAATAGATATAACCATGACGATCGTTGTAAAGCTAACTGGTAAGAGGTTCCCATATATTCTTAAATTTGACCGTTTCCTACAACTGTTCTAGACACCACTCTCCCTCAGCCATTCCTACCCGACCTGGGGCTCCTGCTCGGCAGCTCTCCAAGCCTCACTCACCTCCCCCCCCCCACAAGGCTGCCAACCTTGGCCATCCTGGCGCTCCGCCACCCCTCACGCCTGGGGGCCGCAGAGTGCCCAGCCTGTGCCATCTCACACTGTCCTCGAATGTTCCTCTCTCTCACAGCTGTTCCCCACTAACGCTATGCCCAAAATCACATCATGTTTTAAAACTCTTATATAAAAAAAACTAGTATGTTTGCATCACCATGTTAAGAACTGCTGGCATTGGGCACTGACGTGGGCACTGGATGTGATGAGCCCTGGGTGTTATACGGTACGCTGGCAAATCGAACTCCAAAAAAAAAAAAAAAAAAAAAAAAAGAACTGCCGGCAATCGGAGTTGAAAAAGAACACGGGTCCTTGTGGGACCCACACGCAGCCTCGAAATCTAAGGACACACAGTATAGGATGACGAGGTCACTTCGTAAGAGCTGCAATTATGACATAACTCATTTAATGAATAAAAACATTTACCTCACCTTTTGAGAAAATGATCAGCGCATCAAATGCTGAACTGACAAAGTTTTCTTTGGCTCAAAGTAGACCCCTCATTCATTCATTCATTCCTGTCTTATTTATTCATGAGACACACAGAGAGGCAGAGGCAGAGAGGCAGGCCCCCTACAAGGAGCTGGATGTGTAGGACTCGATCTCAGGACCCCAGAATCAAGCCCTGAGCGGAAGGCAGATACTCAACAGCTGAGTCACCCAGGTGTTCCTGCCCACCCACCCCCCCCTTTTTTAAATTTATTTATTTATGATAGTAACACACAGAGAGATAGAGAGAGAGGCAGAGACACAGGCAGAGGGAGAAGCAGGCTCCATGCACCGGGAGCCCGACGTGGGATTCGATCCCGGGTCTCCAGGATTGCGCCCTGGGCCAAAGGCAGGCGCCAAACCGCTGAACCACCCAGGGATCCCCCCAACCCCCCTCTTAAAAGATTTTATCTATTTGAGAAAGAGAGTGAGAGCACAGGGGCGGGGGCAGAGAGACAAGCAGACTCCCCACTGAGCAGGAAGCGGATGCAGGGCTCAGTCCCAGGACCCCAAGATCACAACCTGAATAGACGGCACAAGCTCAGCTGACTGAGCCACTTGGTTGCTTCTCAAAGTAAGGGTTTTGATTACAGTTTACTATGGACTATAAAACTTGATGCACTTATTTTCCTTTTCACCGTGTAACATCTCAGGTGTCTATTAAACTACAGTCATTCAATCCACCGTCAGGAAAACGGATCCAAGAACTTTGCATTTTCCCTGAAAACTCTACTTTGGCTTCAATTAGGGGCTTCGTCTCCACCCTGACCAGGGCCTCCCCTACCGCTCCTTCCATCGCTACTTGGGCTACACAGGATTTTACTGGTCTTCACTTTGCTGCGGCATGGTCACCACTTATTCAGCAGACACGAACTGAGCCCGTACGAGGCGGCAGGCATTGTTCAGGGGCTGAGAAAGCGGCTCCTGAGGAGCCAGAACACCAGGGAGGAAGGAGCATCCTCGCAGGCGCAGCGCATGTGCCCGAGTCCCTAGTCAGGACAGATTTGCAGGGCCCGGGATGAAGGGGAATGAGAGGGAAGCCGCAGTGGCGGCCCAGAGTCCAATGCTGGCTCTACCACTTTCCCGCTGACTCAACACAGCTCGATTTCCTCCTCCGTAAATCGGGGATCAGAGCACCACCCACCCAAAAAGGGTGCTGGTGAAGAGCAGCACCAAGTCTACAGGGTCTGGTGCCCTGTGCTGAGGGCCGTTATGTAAAACGCCAGGGCTGGACCATGGGAGGGAGGGGGCACGGGGGTTTAGGGCCTTGGGAGGCCACGGTGGAGAATTCGGCTCTTCCTCTGGAACGTCACCTACGTCTGCCGGCCTTCACACAGTGCTTACACCCTTAGCCCCCGCACCACTGCCCAACCCCTACAAAGTGGCTCCCGGGGGGGGGGGGGGAAGCTGCTGGAGGTCACACAGCTGGGGCTGGGACTCACCCTGCACCCAGTCCTTACTAGGAAAACCTGCTCCGACCACTGGCTGCCAGCTCTTGGGAGAAGAGGGCTGATTCAGGCTGAGGCACGGTCCTAAGGGCTGGCCAGCCCTGCCCACCACCCCAAGTGTGATCCTGACGGATGTGCTTGTGTCCTCCTCCTGGAACCCCTTGCGGAGAGGTCTGCCCTCACACTGGGCTGCTCTGTCGTCTTATGAAGGTCCCAGAAAACCGCAATCGCGCCCTTAGGCGGTGCCTGAGAGCACCCACACAGCCCTGGAGGAGGCCTGTAGAACCCCTAGGTGGGAAGAGTTCAGGGCACCAAGCGCTTCCCTTCCTCCCTGGACCCGGCAGTGACTGGGCAGGAATGTGTTCCCAGCTCCCGGGGGGCGGGAGGGGGGTGGGGGGGAGTGCCCCGGCCGTGCCAGGGTGGGCGCCCTGCCCGAGCGCGCTCAGCGCTGCGTGATGGAGCCCGGACCCCCGCACCCTGGTGGGGAGCGCTCCCGGCCGGGACCTGCTGACGCCCTGACTGGGGCTCCCCCGGCTGAGTGCCACACAGCTGCGACCGTCACCTCTGGTCCTGTCGTGGGCCCGTGTCCCCTCCCCGAGGCCTTCTCCTGTGCCCGGGGTAACCTGCAGGGACACGCGCTGCAAGGAGACGCGGGGTACAAAGGGGAGAACGTACTACACGCCAGGCAGGCGCTCATCAGCGAGCGGGGGTCCTGGGTGGGGTCGGGGCTCCCTCCATCACTCCGCGCTGGGCACCCACCCTGGCGCGGCCGGGGAGCGCCCCCCCACCGGGAGCGGGGGTCGGGCCGCGGACGGAGCGGGACCTCCCGCGACCTCCCTTCAGGGGTCGGGAGCCGCGGCGGGACCCCAAGGTCAGCGGGGGCCGCGCCCCGTCGCCCCGCGCCCGCACTCACCTCGGCGCGACCCCCCGGCTCAGGCCGCCGCGACACCACCGCCACCGACTCGGAAAGGTCACGGGACGCGCAGGCGCCGCGCGGGGCCCGTCGGGAAGGCGGAAGGAGCGGCGGCGCCCCGAGGCCGAGCGCGTCCCGGCCGAGCCTGCGCCCCGCAGCGCCCCCGGCGGTCGCCCCGGAACTGCAGGCCGGCGCCGCGCGGGGATGGGCCTTGCACCGGGTGACCTCCCGCGCCCCGCTGCTGAAACCGGGGCCTCGCGCAAAGCGCGCGGGGGAGCAGGGAGCCGCTGTCAGCCCGAAAACGGCGCCGTCTCTGCGGCCCGTGCTAAAGGCCGGGAGGTCATCTCCCCTCGGTGGTCTTCGTGCTTTTTCTCTGTGTGTTCACTTTTTTGCTCTGCGCGTTTTTATGCAGCGAGGCCTGTGCATAGTCGCTTCAGTCAACAGACCCTGCGCTGAGCAGCCACAGGCTCCGAAACACGCCCTGCTTACTATATGCAAGGAAGTAAGCAACACTGAAGATTTCGGTAGAAAGCTGGAAATCGTAAAAAAAGAAACGAAAAAGCCACTCGGTCCGTCTGAAGAAGTCGCAGAGAACTTGGGTAGGCTGAGCTGTGGATTGGACAGATGGAGTAGTACTGGATTGAAAGCTACATTAGGAAGAGCCCTTCAGCAGCACAGAGCGACCAGAGGACGGGGGATAGGATCCAGCGGAAAAGTCCCTCTTAGGTGTGATTGGAGCCGCAGAGGGACAGGAGAGCCAGTGGGAGCAGAAATATCAGGAGAGATCATGGCTGGCTGGAGAATTTTCCAAAAGGGATGGGGAAAAAGTTACACCAAAGATTCAAGAAGCCTTACAGAAACCCACCTTGAAGACGCATGAAAATACACCAGCACTTTGAAACATCATTGAAAAACCATATAGAACACTAGAGATGAGAAAATCCTAAGTGCCAATCTAGAATTCTATGCATACGGAAATTAGCCTTCAACAGAGAATGTGAAATAAAGACATTTTGGATGACCTTAGGCTGAGGGAATGATTACTAGGAGATGCAGAATTAAGAAAGAAATCAATATTTTTTAATAGGTTTTTTAAAAATTCTTTTTAATTTATTATAGTCACACACAGAGAGAGAGAGAGGCAGATACATAGGCAGAGGGAGAAGCAGGCTCCATGCACCGGGAGCCCGACGTGGGGACTCCATCCTGGGTCTCCAGGATCGCGCCCTGGGCCAAAGGCAGGCGCCAAACCGCTGAGCCACCTGGGCTGCCCTCAATAGTCATCATTGAGGCAGAAGGAAAGTGAGCTGAGATGGAGGGATGACTACCCAGGAAGGAAGAGCAATGAGCATGAAGTCCTGCTTCCAAGGGACAAAAGCTTAGGATCAAATCGAAGCTGCATTCACAACCTGAAAATCTTGCTATTTTATGGTAGGGGTTCTCAAAGTGTGGTTTGGGGGTTTCCAAGTTCCCCTGGCATCAAAACTATTTTCATAACAATGGTAAGATGTTCTTTTTTAAAGATTTTACTTATCCATTAATGAGAGAGAGAGTGGCAGAGACACAGGCAGAGGGAGAAGCAGGCTCCATGCAGGGAGCCTGATGCGGGACTCGATCCTGGGTCTCCAGGATCACGGCCTGGGCTGAAGGCGGTGCTAAACCACTGAGCTACCCAGGCTGCCCTGTTCTTTGTCTTTTTCACTAGAATTATCTTACAAGTGTTCTGCGGAGTTTTCCAGAAGTTGGCTTGTGACATCACAACAGAGTGAACAGAGGAACAGATATGAGAATCCAGCTATCTTCCATTAAGGCAGACATTAAGAGATATACAAAAATGTCTAAATGTCATTCTCCTCACACATAGAGTGATTTTTCATAAAAATATTCTCTTTAACATCAAATGGGTTTGTTATTGTTTTATTGTTTTATTTTTATTTTTTTTTAAATCTATGATAGGCACGCAGTGAGAGAGAGAGAGGCAGAGACACAGCAGAGGGAGAAGCAGGCTCCATGCACCGGGAGCCCGACGTGGGATTCGATCCCGGGTCTCCAGGATCGCGCCCTGGGCCAAAGGCAGGCACTAAACCACTGCGCCACCCAGGGATCCCTGTTATTGTTTTAAAATGAATTAATAAGTAAACAAAATGTCTCAGTTGTGATATTTAATAAAGTAGGTGTAACCCACTTAAAAGTTCTCTAGGGGCTTTATTAATTTTTGAGAGCATAAAGGGGTCCTGAGATACGGACTCAGTTTGAGAACCACTGTCTTGGCAAAGAATGTTGGAGACTATAATAAAGTAGGAAACTACTGAGGATGACAACAACTGTTTAGGAAAAACTTACTAGTATCATCATAATCTATTTTAAGACAACAAAGCTTTTGAACTTCAAACTCCACTTGAGATCAACAGAATTTTCATTTCTTTGTGGCAAAGCCAAAACACCTCGTGAAAAATACATCTTCAAAGGAAACAACGTTTAAAGACAGAGCCACCCCAGCAGATAGATTTATGCAAAGTGCAGAATTCTGCATTTTGCAGCTGAGAAGGTCAAAGAAGACATGAAATACTTGGGCCGCAGCTTCCCCTACTTTGTCAAGACTGCTGCTTACTGGTACCAACATCATTTGTGATGGTCTCAGCTGCTTGTTTTCCCTTTGGGTCTGCAACTGACACTGTTCTGGGAATGCAAATCGGCAAAACCTCCACCCAAGCCCATGGCTTCCTCTGCACTCTTGTTTCAATATCTAAAAGCCTATTAAGAATTGTCAAGCTGTCTCTTTCAGCCTTAGACCGGAATGCAGGATGAGCGGGGCTAATTGAGTATGAAGCACCAAGAGCTACCAATCAAATAGAGGGGTCAAAGCTAGTCTTTGTGACGACACAGAATGTTAATCACTACTCAGGGAAATGGCAATTAAATGAGAACAAATTTCTGAACTGAAGCATCAAGATGGTCTCCTTAAACTGCAGTTAAAAACTCAAAATTCAAGAAGACTGAAGGAGATAGTGATCCAAAAGGTTCAAAGTACATATAAAAAGACTTCCAGTCACCTCACACCTCTTAAAATAACTAAGCTCAAAAAGACGAGAAATACCAAGTGTTGGCAAGAGAAATGCTTGGGAGAAATAGGAACCCTTGAACACCGTTGGTGGGAATGTAAACTGCTACTGCCACTGTGAAAACAGTATGGAGGTTCCTCAAAAAATTAAAAATAGAAATAGCAGATAATCCAATAGTTCCAATACCGAATATTGGCCCAAAGAAAACAAAAACACAAATTTGGAAAGATGTATGCACCTTTATGTTTATTGCAGTATTATTTATAATAGCCAAGAGGTGGAAGCAGCCCAGGCGTCCAGTGATAGACAAATGGGTAAGGAAGATACACACGTACACACACTGGGATATTACTCAGCCACAAAAAGGGAGATTGTGGCATTTGCAACAACATAGATGGACCTAGAGGGTATTTTGCTAATAAGTGAAATATCAGAGAAAGATACCATATGATTTCACTCATATGTGGAATCTAAAAACAAAATGAAACAAAGCAACAAGAAGCAGAATTAGACCTATAAATACAGAGAACAACGTGATGGTTGCTAGAGGGAAGGAGGGTTTGGGTGAAGTGGGTGAAGGGGAGGGGGAGGTGCAGTCTTCCACCTATTGAACGAGTAAGTCATGGGAATAGAGGGCACAGCGCAAGGAATACAGTCAATGATGCTGTGATGGTGTTGCATAGTGACAGATGGCAGCTATCCTTGTGAGCGCGGCATACGGTCTAGTTGTCCATCACTACGCGGTACACCTGAAACTAATGTAACATTACTATAATGTAATGTCAGTCAACTGTACTCAAAGAAAGAAAAACCTCTCTAGAAAACGTTCTCTTGAAAGGAAACCTCTTCAAAAAACAAAACAAAACAAAAAACCAAAACAAAACAAAACAGCTGCCACCTGAAAACATACTGTGACACCCTCAAGGGAGGATCGGGTGCAGGGACAGCACTACAGTAGGAGACACAAATGTCAGTTGTTTGAAAAGGTTCCAATGCATTTTGGAAAATTTAGAGCACGTGCTGGCTTTCACATAACATCTCAGTATTTTTATTTTCTTTAATTTTTTTTTTAATTTATGATAGTCATACAGAGAGAGAGAGAGAGAGAGAGAGAGGGGCAGAGACATAGGCAGAGGGAGAAGCAGGCTCCATGCACCGGGAGCCCGACGTGGGATTCGATCCCGGGTCTCCAGGATCCGCGCCCTGGGCCAAAGGCAGGCGCCAAACCGCTGCGCCACCCAGGGATCCCTCAGTATTTTTAAAATCAATGTTGAAGGACACATCAAGGGTCTCAAGGGCTACGATCACATTTTTACTTATCGAAAAACAAGTTTCTTTCCGATCGCCAAAAGGTGTGTGTGTGTGTGTGTGCGCGCGCGTGTGAGCACTTCTGCAGGCTGCTGGCTTTGGAAAGTCAGAACAGGAGGCCCAGAGCTCACAGCAGGAGCTGGGGGTGTGGCCGGTGTCCGGACGTGGGGACCCGGGCTCCCTGTTTTTGGAGAAACGCGGAGAGCGTGACCCCGGCCTGGTCGGACTTCGTCTGCACCGTTCTCAAGCCGGCCTCTCGCTTGTACTCTTCTGTACGCTCTTGTGCCCTGGAACGCACGCACTCTTGGAGCGTTTTCCAGTCCGTAGTCACTGCTCCGGAGCTCAGCCTGGGCCGTTGCAGCCGCCCCCCGGGGTCCCCACCACCGCTTTGCTGGCGGCCAGCTCGCAGGGCCCTCTCGCCGCCTCTCCCCGCTAGCTGCGGGCGGGCGCCGCAGCTGCCACGAGGGCCACCCCACCCCGTTCGTCGCGGCCCCACGGAGCTCCTTCCCGCCAGAGGACCGTCACCCGCCCGGTCCCGGCTGTCCTGCAGGGTCCACCTCGGGGTCGTCTCCCACGGAGTGTGCGAGAGCAGCTGCCCCTCAGACCCAGCCCGGTACCCCAGGAGCTCTGCCCGGGGCGGCGCAACCGGTGCTCAGCCCACGTCTGTCCCGCGTGGGCCGGAGCACCCGCCGCGGACGGGTCCTCGAGGGAGCA